TGATCATCACTGAAGGCGATAGAACATGACTCTAAGCTGCCCGGTACACGCGCGATAAGCGCTAGTGACGGCTTGAGCTACTTCATCGATAGAACATCATTTTGCCTTGACTAACATGGACTTATTGGACATCAAATAATCTAAGCTGAATAATTAACGTAAATAGTTCGAGAGTTGCCGGGTAAAACGAAAGGTTATTCGATCACGATTTAACTTAGGCCTAATCGAACTTTAGTACGGCCTTACTAAAAATTCTCAAACGTGAATCGAACACTTTAACTTAAAATAAACTTACGGCCATAAACATAAGTCGAGGACGACTATACCTTCGCAAATACTCGCCGGAATACCAAAATTGCTCAAGTCCTTGCGTGTGCGTGCCGGTACAATACTCTCCGTGCGTTGCTTCGGTAGGGCCGTGCGAGAACTAAACTTAAGGAATGATTGTGATCTTCTTAAGCTTGCTGAACGTATATATAATAGGTGGGAGGAGATATGCTGAGTTTAACTTAGGGGAAAGTGGGGAAAATTTCTCCCAATCTCATACTTATATACTAGGCCGTGGGATATATGGAGTGCCGCATGAGAGACGTTGCTTCTTTAAGCCTTGACATTTGCTTGCTAATAGAATTACTAAGCATGACTAATCTCCCAATTTATCCCCTTATAAAGCCACGTGTACTAGTTAAAGAATGGAGGGAAAATTATTTCTTAAGCCTTAGGAAATTGGATACAATTTGGAACATACATCTACCTATAACTCACGGCTTAGGAAATTAATTGGAAAATAATTTCCCTAATGCACGGCTTAAGAATTAAATTGGTGATTAAGTGCTAATTAATCACTTATTTTATGTTTAATTATTTTATTAAACATAATGCTTAATTACCAAAATTATTCCGAACGTAAACGGTACGTCGAAAATAAATTTCGGTAATCTCGACTGAATTTAATTAACTCCGAAAATAATAAACGTTAACATTATTATATCGGAATTAAAACATAATTTATACCGACAAAATATCGGGATATTACAATCCTCCCTCCTTGCAAAATTTCTGTCCCCGGAAATTCAAAATATAACTGATATACATGAACTATGTACATAGGATAAAGAAATATGTACATCAAAACTGAAAATCTGGAAAACGAGCGCGAATATCGGACTCCTCCTCCTAAGTAGCTCCGTGGCGATCCCATTGAATACGCACGAGGGGAATATCTCGCTTCCGGAGCCGACGAATCTGACGGTCTAATACAGCTACCGGTCGCTCCTCGTACGAAAGATCTGACTGAATCTGAATATCTGAGTGGGGAATAACATGATCGGGGTCGCACACGTACTTACGCAACATCGATGCGTGAAATACATTATGAATGCCTGATAACTCGGGAGGTAGGGCTAAACGATACGCGACTTTGCCTACTCGTTCGAGAACCTCGAACGGACCGATGAATCGAGGGTGCAGCTTCCCTCTCTTTCCGAATCGCACAACTCCGCGAATCGGACGGACTCGAAGAAAGGCTGGCTTGCCAACCTCGAACTGAATGTCTTGTCGATGATGATCGGCGGAAGATTTCTGTCGACTCTGAGCTGTCTTGAGTCTCTACTGGATCAACTCGACCTGCTCCGCTGTCTCCTCGATCATCTTAGGACCGAGTACTCGTCGCTCTCCAACGTCGTCCCAATAGATATGGGAACGACACTTGTGACCGTAAAGTGCCTCGTACGGAGCCATCTGAATAGAAGAATGGTAGCTGTTGTTATACGCGAACTCGGCGTACGGCAACAGCGACTCCCACTTAGCACCCCTGTCAACAACCAAGGCGCGAAGCATATCCTCCAGCGTCTGAATAGTCCGCTCTGACTGACCGTCTGTCTCCGGATGATAGGCTGAACTGAACTCAAGCTTCGTGCCCATCGCCTCATGTAAGCTGTGCCAGAATCTGCTGACGAATCTGGGATCTCTGTCTGATACAATGGTGACGGGCACTCCGTGGAGTCGGATGATCCCACGGGTATATATCTCAGCCAATTTGTCTAGAGACATCTTCATCGAAATGGGTAAGAAATGCGCGACATTAGTCAATCTGTCGACCACGACCCATATAGCGTCGTGATGTTCAGAAGACCTCGGCAATCCCGTAACGAAATCCATCGTGACTTCCTCCCACTTCCACCTCGGAATCGGCAGTGGCTGCAGGAGGCCAATCGGACTCTGATGTTCGGCCTTGACTTGCTGACAGGTAAAACACCTCCTAACAAACTCGGCGACGTCCTTCTTCATACCTCGCCACCAGAACGACCCTTTCAGGTCGTGTTACATCTTCGTGCTCCCGGGATGGGCCAGATAGGGTGCGGTATGGGCCTCTGATAAAATCTCCTTCCGCAACGCCTCGACCTTCGGGACCACGATCCTGCCTCTGAACTCTTGTTGACAACCGATTCGGTCCGGGCCGGATCGGATACTCAGCCCCTCCGGATCGAAACAAGAACCCGGTCTGATGCCAAAGTGCCGAGCTGGACCGCGGATTAGAGGGGCGGGAAACCGCCCTGGGAACAGATTCTCAGCCCGGCGCCAGACTCAGACCGGGGAGCCGCCGACCTGGATTGGTGCCGGACAGGAAGGAGACTATTCGTAGTCTCATGAGAATCTAGGAACGAAGTGCCGACCTGAAAGTATGAGGAGGCCGACCAGGGACGACGCACGGGCCTCAATGAACATTAAAATATTCCCACTTGGGAGGTCATCAATGGACGATGGGACAGGTAATCATGGCCTAGCCCCCTACCAGCCTGCCTGAGTCAGCAAAGCCATCCAGCATTAAATGCCCCCCATGCTGGCATTTAATGCCCGTCAGGCAATGATTGAAGAAACCTCAAATCGCATTAAATAACCGTCAGACGGACGGCGAACTGCCCTGCCAAATTACTGTGCGACAAGACCAGTGAACAGTAGCTGAATAGTGCCACATTAAAGACCACTATAAATAGCTGCTCACCTCATTTATTTTGGGTTGTTGAATCCCAACTAACTCTGCCTTCTCTCTATTTTCTCTCTCTAAAAGCTGTAAGAAACTCATTGTAAGAATTGTAAGTATATCGCAAGTGCCGACCTCGTACGAGAGGCCGACCTCGTGATCGTCTAACAAAATCATAATTAAACCGAATCGTTCTCCTCTTTTTCAGTCTTGTTTTCAACATTCTTTATTTTTAACCGTTGACCGAAAATGCTCGTCAACAACTCTAGGGCACCATCGGCACCTAGCTGAAAACCCTCGACGCCTCCGGCTCGAACCTTGGCCTCCATGACACGAACAAACTCGTCAGAAGCCTGCTCTCGCCGGATTCTCTCTCTCAGCGTCGGCTGAAGCTGCATAGCACTGACACTGGCACTAGTACTCCCCGAAACTGCTATGGGAAGTGCATCTATCGCCTGAAGCTGCATTCGGGCAAACTCCTGAATCAACGGATTCTGCTGAGTGATGACGTACGTCAAGTCACCCCTCACCTTTCGGCTAAGGACGTCAGCAACGACGTTCGCCTTCCCCAGACGATACTGAATAGAGCAGTCGTAATCCTTGACGAGTTCTAACCAACGGCGCTGTCTCATGTTGAGCTCCTTCTGAGTAAAGATATACTGCAAGCTCTTGTGATCTGTGAAAATCTCACAATGACCGCCGTAAAGATAGTGTCGCCAAATCTTAAGAGCATGAACGACTGCTGCTAACTCCAAGTCGTGCGTCGGATAGTTCTGCTCATGAGGCTTAAGCTGACGCGAAGCATACGCGACGACCTGGCCGTCCTGCATAAGGACACATCCCAAACCCTGTCTCGAAGCATCGCTGAAGATAGTGAAACTCCGAGAAGGATCGGGAATAGTCAACACCGGTGCTGCAATTAATCTCCTCTTGAGCTCCTGAAAGCTCGACTCACATCGGTCAGTCCACTCGAACTTCACAGACTTCCTCGTCAACTGGGATAGAGGGAGGGCGAACTTGGAAAAGCCCTCGATGAACCTACGATAGTATCCAGCTAGACTGAGAAAACTGCGAACCTCGGACGGACTCCTCGGTGTCGACCAGTTCTGAATAGCTGAGACCTTGGAAGGATCCACCTCGATACCTGCCTGAGTAATCACATGACCCAGAAAGAATACTCGCTGGAGCCAGAACTCGCATTTGGAGAATTTCGCAAACAACTTTTCTTGTCTGAGGGTTTCAAGAACCACCCTCAAATGCTCCTCGTGCTCCTTCTGGCTCTTCGAGTAGATAAGAATATCGTCAATAAAGACAATAACAAACTGATCGAGGTAGGGATGGAAAATACGATTCATGAGGTCCATGAA